ATGTCACAATATGTTAACCATTTCTCTTTAGTTATCATTTCTTGTCTATAAAATGCTTCTTGTATAGAGAGTCTCAAGGGTGTTTTCATATGCAACCTAAGTGTCAGCTGACACTAGGTTTATTTTTATTCCATATTCTTAAAATAGCACGTCTAATATAATGGTTTTTAAAATCTACATTGACCTTAGGTTTATCATACCACAAATAACCATGCCAACCAAATTTCAAATTGTGACCTTCTAACTCCAATAACCTATTATTTCTCAACAACATTCATTCTTTCATCCAAACTAAACAACAAGCAGCATACAGTTTAAAATCAGGTAGCCCCAGACCTCCTCTTTTCTTTGCATCTTGTAGTACCTTATATTTAACTCATGTTCCCCCCCCCTTGCCATACAAAATTAGAAATATCTTCCTGCCATTATTTAAATGGTACATCAGTTGTCAAAACAGGTATTGTCAGAAACAAAATTAACACTCTGGGTAAAACATTCATTTTAACTACAGATACCCTCCCCAACAAAAACAGTTGCAATTTATCCCATCTCAACATATCTTTTTAAATGTCATTCCATTTCTTAATATAATTATTTTGAAATAACACACCGTTCATATTTGTCAAGGTATTTTACCTTTTTCCCCACCTTAAATCCAATTTTATTGATCAGTTTTATTTGTTCTTGTATTTTCATATTTTTTTGTTAACATCTTAAGATCAACAAAGGTTTATTCAAGGTGCAAGCTTTTGTGTGCATGTATACTTCCTCAGATACAATGAAATGAAAGTTAGCAGTCCATCCATATAGGCAAAGGGTGAGCAGTAAATTAGCATACAACATAATGAAGACATCTTTGCTGGCCTTCGTAAGGCCTGTGAAACTTGGCTATTTCAGAGAGGTTTTCTTTATTAAGAAGAAGAAGAGATTGGAGTCTCAGAGTGACTTACAAACTCCTTTCCATTCGCCTCCCCACAACAGACACCCTGTGAGGTAGGTGTGGCTGAGAGAGCTCTTTCAGGAACTGCCCTTTCAAGGACAGTTCTTGTCAGAACTATGGCAGAACTATGGCTTGCCCAAGGTCATCCACCAGCTGCAAGTGGAGGAGTGGGAAATCAAACCCAGTTCTCCCAGATTAGAGTCTGCACACTTAACCACTACATCAAACTGGCTCTTGATTAGACGTTTTTCATGAACTCCGTATTCAGATAGGCTTTGTACCTGCACTTCTGGCGAGATTGAGACGCTGACACATTTCCTTTTATTTTGTTCTCATTGGTTAACTCTTCGGTCATATTGGATATATCTACTTCTATCCAAATACCACTTTCCACTGGAGCCATGGGTGACCTCTTATCCAATAATTACTGCTTCAGTAGTAAAATATTTAGCTATTTTAATAGCATTGAAGTGTAAATAATTGCTGTTATGATAAGGTCTGCATCTTTGGTTCTGTTTTATATTTTAAATCTTTTATACTATTTACATTTTAACCAGATTTGAATGTATAGTTTTAAATTTTCACTTTGGTATTTTATATGTATGTTGTATATTGTGGATGTGCTTGAGACCATCTCCCTTATAAATAAAAGGTGGTGGCACTTCTCTAGAACATTCCACACGCTCCAAAATCAGTTCACTCTCTGATCTGTCATTCAGAGGGTCTCCCTATCCACTGGCTGCTTTGCCTGAGTCCTGCCTCCAACATTCTAAACAGTTTGCTGTTCCTTCCCCCGCATAGCCAGTCAGAACACAGAGGTTATTTGCATGGAACACAGAGGTCGTTTGCATATGCGACTTGATTGGCTTTTGCGTCTAACATTCTAAACAGTTTGCTGTTCTGAGGTAAAATGTGTCCAATCTCCAGGTGAGGGCTGGAGATCACTCAGAATTACAACTGCTTTCCAGATGGCAGAGATCAGTTCCCCTGGAGAAAATGGTGGGCTCTGTATCCTTATATGCTGCTGAGGTGGCCCCCGTATGACAGCCAATGTGACGTAGCAGTCAGGGCTTCAGAGCACGGGAGAGGCTGCAGGTGTGTGGGGGGTGGAAAGCTGAAGAGTGAGGGGAAAATAAAGGTAGGTTGATGATTGGCTGGGAAGGAGATAGGGTTGCCAACTCCAGGTGGGAAATTCCTGGAGATGTGAGGGATGGAGCCTGGAGAGGGTGAGGTTTCAGGAGGCATGGGACCTCGGACATAGACTCCGCCCTCCAAACCAACTATACCCATTGTTGCCAATCTCCAGGTGAACCAATCTCCAGGGAACCATTGTTGCCAATCTCCAGGTGAGGGCTGGAGATCACTCAAAATTACAGCTGTTCTTTAGGTAGCAGAGATCAGTTCCTGTGGAGAAAATGGTGGACTCAGTGTCATTCTACCCTGATGAGGTCGCCACAGCAAATTGACACTGAATGTCCAAGGCCGTGGCACCTGCCCAGAGCCTCTTTCTAGAGGCCATTGTATTTATTTCCACAACGGGCCTTTTTCCTAGTTGGTCATATGAGCTGAAATAAACTAAGGAAGAGTGGGGAAATCAAACCTGGTTCTCCCAGATTAGAGTCTGAACACTTACTCAATTTCTAGTCAATCAAACTTTATTGTTCTGCCTCGGATCTTTGTATGTAGTGATAATTGGCAAGATTTTGGGATCTGCGGCAGTTTCCAGGTTTTGTTTCAATGTCAATGTGTAATATTGTTTTAATTTTAGAATGTCTTTTAAAAATGAATCATTATAAGTTAAAGATGATAATATGATTATTTAATATCTATAAATTTGTTTTGGTGTTAAATGAAATGATCTAACCAACATGAATTATAAATAGGTGTGGAATAGGTTTAGATAGATTGGAGTAAAGTGACTGCAGAAGATATGGTTTAGGGTTAAATGTTGATGGTGGGATTCAAAGCCAAAGCCAAAGATAAGAAATGTGGATATGAAAGTAATATATATGAATTCATTTATGTATAGTTATATTCTGATGTTGCAGATCTAAGAAAATTGATATAGGTTAATGGTTAGGGTTTGAAAAGGTGATTTATTTACTTATGTTAGTAATAATTGAATTACATTATTTGATATAAGTATGAGAGATTATGACTTTTTAGTATGGTTCTTTCTTTTTGGTTTTTGGGTTGGTGTCCTTGGTAGTGAAGTAAGATAATATGTAAACTTGACTGAGATAACTTTAAGTATAAATGGTAAAATAAATTTGGATAGTGGACTGTCTCAAGAAAAGAAGAGTGAGAAAGAATAACAATACAATTATTGGATGCTTGTATGTTTGAATAAGAAGGAAAATGTACTTGTTAAGTGATTATGTTGCTGCCTAGAAGTATTTAAAAATGGTGTTAAATGGATGAATAATTAACGCAAAATGATATTATAGAATATGCGTTATATTGGAAAACTCAATAAAAATCTTTTTTTTAAAAAATGTCGTTAGCTGCCCTTAGCCTTTGGGGAGGGTGGGATAACAGTATATGCTCAATAAATAAACCCATGAATATGAATATTCTTATACAAATATGAATCAGTGGTACTGTGGGGTAAGAACATGGTTGCCTGCTCAGGGTTGGGAAATACCTGGAGATTTGGGGGGTGGAGCCAGAGGAGGGCAGGGTTTTAGGAGAAGAGGGACCTCAGCAGAGAGTATAATGCTATAGAGTCCACCCTCCAAAGCACCCATTTTCTTGAGGGGAACTGATCTGGGTCATCTGGAGAGCAATTGCAATTGTGGGAGATCTCCAGGTACCTCCAGGGGACTGTAGGTTTGCCAGGTCCCTACCTGGCATCCAGCGGGGGAGGGAGAGGCTGTGTGTCTGGGAGCCTCATGCACATGCACCACAATGACATCACCCGAAAGTGACGTCATCACACCGGGCACGTCATCGAGGGACGCTCTAGCATTCGGGCTTAAAACTCTATGGTACCATTGAGTTTTAAGGGTGAATGCTAGAGCATCCCCTGACGACGTGCCTGGTGTGATGATGTCACCCCCCCCGGGTGACGTCATTGCACTGAGCACATTGGCTCGATTCAGGCACTTTAGGGGAGGAGTTCTCCCCAGCGGCTGGATCCAGGCCAGCGGGTTGGGGGGCTTAGAGTGGGCAACCCCCCTGGGACACCTGGCAGCCCAAGGAGACTGGCAACCCCAGTTAAGAACAGCATTTGAAGCTCTGTCAGTGAGGGTGTACTTCTGTGACAGGGAATGAAAAAAAGTGTTAAAGATGACCTTCCCTTCTCATATGGCATGGTGGTTTCTTGGGAATAGGCAAGTATATTAAAATTAGTTAATTAATAATAAACTGATTTAAGGGGCAGATGATAGTCAACTAAATGTTTTTTTTTCTCAACAGTTGAGAGATCTAATATGTGCTAGAGTTGCCAGCTCTGGGTTGGGAAATACCTGGAAGCAGGGGTCATTTCGTAGAAAAAGAGGTGCAGGAGCTCATTAGCATAACTTATTTGCATATGCCACACCCCCTGACATCACCGGAAGTGTGTCAGAAGGCAACACCCACTGCAACTTACCTGGCTGCTTTTTGCTTCTCATGACCCAGGGCTGCTGGGAGCAGGGGGCAGGGCTTGTTGCATGTGCCCGCCCCCTGGGCTCTTTACTGCCGGAGCTCCGCTCCTGTGCGCTCCTGCAGGAAATGACCCCTGCCTGGAAGTTTGGAGGGTGTCGCCTGGGGAGGGAGCTCAGCAGGATATAGTGTCACAAATTCCACCCTCCAAAGCTGCTGTTTCCTCCCGGGGAACTGATCTTTATCACCTGGAGATCAGTTGTGATAGCCAGAGATCTCCCGACGCTACCTTGAGGTTGGCAGCCAGAATGTGGACATTTGTTGAGACAACAACAATAGGAGAGGGATTCAAAGAGTAGGGGATATGTTGCTGTCAGGAGATTGCTCAGGCCATTCATTGGAGGATTGTGCTGCAGGAAAAAGAAATACGTAACACACACGTGAACTCCTTGACATTTCATTTTGTTTCTCTCAGATCCTAGGGTCCGAGGATGGCTCATGCTGGATTCCTACCTACCTACCTTTTTACTGACTGTCGGATATCTGCTCTTGATATGGCTTGGCACCACATTCATGAAGAACAGGCCTGCTTTTTCACTCAGGGGTCTCCTTATTGTATATAACCTGGGAGTCACGATGCTTTCATTGTACATGCTTGTAGAGGTAAGTCTCTTTAGCTGCAGCACTATTCTGAGTTAAAATGACTGGCATTTGCTAAGAGTTTTGTTTTCTTCCCAAGTCAGATCGGCTGGTAGTCCTCACTTTTAAAAAACCTTTTATATTCCGTGATTGTAGGTGTAATGCATGGATCCAATGCTCCCTCTAAGCTGTGGAGTCTTGTGAGCACAAATTCTACCTTGTGAGCTACTGTTATATCTGGCGATTGTTATATCTAGATGCCGAAAGAATGCCGCCATTGTTTACTTGCACTGCTAGCATTTTGTTGTGGTTTTAACTGTTTTATCTGTTTTAGTATTTGTATAATGTATTTTTATATGTATGACTGTAAGCCGCCCTGAGCTTGCCTTCGCGGGGAGGGCGGGATATAAATCAAATAAAAATAAAATAAAATACTGGCATTAAAGTTGTGAGTGAGTGGTTTGGCTACTGCATAAATTAGTTTGCGCTGGAGCCCTCCTTCCTAAGCTAAGACAAATATGTGTGAGCCAGAGGCAGAAAAACTGAGCTAGCTCACACTAACTCAGCCTAGAGGGAACATTGGGGTCCCCAACCTTTTTGAGCCTGTGGGCACATTTAAAATTCTTACACAGCATGGTGGGCACAGCAACAAAATGGCTGCCACTGGAGGTGGAGGCAGACACAAAGTGATGGCCACAGTTTAATTTCAGCAACACAGTGCAGATCCTTGTGCTGTGGTGGCAGCTGCTGCCAAAGCAACATTTTAAAAAATCGGCACAGCCAACCGAATCTCCAATCAGAAGCCTTGCTGAGCAAAAGCCCTACCTGGCCCCACCCACTTCCTAAGAACACTTGGCAGGCACCAGAAAAGGCGTCAGTGGGCGCCATCGTGCCATGGGCACCACGTTCGGGATCCCCAGTGTAATGTGTCTTGGCTCATCTGCTTAGCTATCTAGGTGGTCTTTGTTTAAATTATTCCTTCCTGAACGTTTGCATCACAATTGCTCCTGCAGTTTTCAGGGGACACCCTAGGTTTTTATTTAGTTATCTGCTTTATTTATAGTCCATGTTTCTCACTGAGATTCAAGGGAGATTGCGGGAAATAAGCACTGCAATCAGACAGCAGAATAAAATAGCCAATGGACGATGCAAATAGGACTAGGATTACAGAATTAGAGAAGAATGTGAACAACACATTATCTAAGGCAAGATATACTATAAACAATACAGGAAGTGGATTACAAGGTAAAGACAATGCAGTAAAAACTACTGATGCCTGCTGTAGTCATTGCAGTGAACTACAGTCCTGTTCAGTTAACAAGGATGCCCTCCTGAATTGTTCCATTTGACTGGAGTGCTAATCTGCTTTTTAAAAAGTCCTCTTGAACATTACCGGTCAGCCCATTCTGCAGAATGGTAGAAGTGGGGGAACCTTGCTGAACTCAATAAGTTGGAAGCCACCACTGAGGACACACATGGACAGGCAGCTGCCAGTCGTGCCCATTTGCAGGGTGGCACTTTTAGAAGGCTTTGGTCAGATGAGTGGAGCTGGTACAGCAGAGCATAGTGGGGGAGGGGTTCCTGCAGGGATGGGGGGGGTCTAGGGCCATTCAGAGCTTTGTAGGTAATAACCAGAAACTTTCTTTGAACTTGGTAACTGGTCAGTAACCAAAGGAGTATCTGTAGAATGGGTGTGACATGCTTGCTCCACCTGGTGTCCAATAGTAACCGGGCTGTTGTGTCCTGCACTGACTAGAATTTCCAAGCTGTCTTTAAAGGCATACCCATGTACACTACATTACAGTAGTCTAGCCTCGAATTAACCACAGGACCGATCTATATCGCCAGATCAGCTGAGTCAAGGTAGAGTGCTGTCTTCTGGGCTCAAAGAAGATGGTAGAATGCCTCCTTGCAGGTGTATTAACTTGCTTCTCCATTAATAGTGTTGGATCTGTTATAACCCCCAGGCTGTTAACTGAGATCTCTGTGGTCTGGGAGCAGCCTGCATCCATGCAAAGAAAGAATCCAATTGGGGGGGGGGTGACCTTCAGGTGACTTCCAGATCTGTATGCCCATAATCCCCCAGTTTTATGTATGTATATAAGGCACTTGGGTTTCTCTCTTTATTGCGTTTAAGCTAGTCAGAAAAACAAATGGTTCTGTAGTGTTGCCTTTGGAAAGACCACTTAACCACTCAAGTGGTTAAGACACTGAACTGCAGGCTGTGGAAGGTCAGTAGTTCAGCAGTTCGAGACCCGAGTGCCGCATGATGGGGTGAGCTCCCATCTCTAGTTCCAGCTCCTGCCAACCTAGCAGTTGGAAAGCAAGAAATTGAAACTAGATAAATAGATAAATGGTGGGAAGGTAACAGCCTTGGTGTTTAGTCATGCCGGCCACATGACCACGGAAACTTCTTCGGACAGCGCTGGCTCTTCGGCTTTGAAACGGAGATGAGCACCGCAACCCTAGAGTCGGACTCGACTGGCTTTTGAGCAAGGGAAAACTTTACCTTTACCTTTACCTATGTAAAGCACTTGGGTTCCTCTCTTTATTACGTTTAAACTAGTCAGAAAAACAAATGGATCTGTAGTGTTGCCTTTGGAAAGACCACATAGAATTGTTATTGCAAAGGCCCGTTTTGACTAGAAAACACATAAAAGAATGCTCCCCTCCCCAAGTCCTCTGTGTCTGCTGGGGGGCTCAGAGGTGGGGGAGGGAAGGGCATCAAGCACTACTACTAATACTTTGGTTAATGAGCTTAGGCAAAATTTGTGAACCCTGAATGAGAACAAAAAAATTCTTCATACTAAGGACTGGAGCCCATGGTTAGAAGAATTGTTTGTTCCGCTGGTACTGGTGTAATAATTTCTTCAGTGTTGCGTCTCACCAGAAAACATCATCTGTAATATCTATTTCTGTGAACAAATACCAGTTGAGTTGGAAGAAAGTTGTGTTTGCAGTTCTCTCTTTTTCTGTGCAACTATAAGAAAGCACAGGCGTTCAGTCTTCCCTTGTACCTTGTCACCCATGAAGTGGTGGAATGTGAGTTGCTCTGTCTCCAGAATCCTCCTAAATAGATTGTTGCCACCTTGGCTTTAGTCACTGAACTGCATTCTGGTTTCTCTTGAGCACAGGGTCGCTGACAAAAGGGGGCTGGAGGGACAAAATTCGGGGGGAGGGGGTGTCAGCGGGAGAGCTAGTATCATATTCCACCGGAAGGTCTTTCCATTTATTTTTAATGCAGTTCTGGCTGCAGACACTAGGGGCACAAGGAAGTCTGAGCACAGTAAAAGGCACTCTTGTATTGGCTAGACTTCTTTTTCTCCAGGGCTGAAGCAAACTTGCCTAACAGATCATTCTAAACCCATCAACTGATCCAGCCATGGAGAACCAACCATGGCTGATGGCTGCTACACTAATTGTCAGCCTGCAGCCTGCTAACCAAGGCCATTTTCTATAATAGCCTAGCTTTTCTCTCTTGCTTTCCTTGCTCCCAGCTCAGCCAGATCTTGCAAAGCAGTAGAAACAGTCTTTTTCTTTTCCTTAATTTCTTTCCTGTCAGGTTCCACAGCCAAACAAAAGGAGTACACGTTTATCATGAGGTTATACTAGGGTTCCCAAATCCCCCCGGGGGGCGGATTTCCCCCCGCTTTCAAGGCCCGATTCCTGCTCCTGCGGAATCGGGGCCCGGGAAGCATAATGGGATATAGGGTATTCGTATGCACCCCCCCCCACTCCTAGGCCAATCGGCCTGACTCCCCCACGCGGGAGAATGGGGCCCCAGGCTGTTAAAGCCAAAGCTGGGAATCGAAGGAATGCGGCAGCAGTTGGTACACAGGTCAAACAGATGCACTCTCGCCCATAAACATCATGGCAGCATAGCTGACATTTCCTTCTTTTCCAAACTTTTCTAATTCATTTCTATCTCACTCCATCTAATTTTTCCATGCCCCCCCTTTATTTTCACTTCTTGGTCTCAAGACCTTCTCATCTGTATCCTGCTTGGTGACAGAATGTACTTAAGAGTAGTATAGTAGCAAAACTTTGTTAATAATATGAACAGAAAGGGGGGGGGTTAATATTTCCCCATGATTTAACAAAATAGCAAAAGGATGCTTCCCCCCCTCCTCCACCCTTTACATGCATGGTAATGGAACATTAATCTGTTTTACTGGTTATATATGTGTAGGGATGGGCATGAACTGAATTTTGCGGTATGAATGGGGAGGTTGGTTCACGAATTGAACCGGTTTGTAAGGGTTCAATGCTCCCCGCTGCTTTTTGCAAAACTGCTTTTCATGGGGAGCAGAAAGCAGGGGTTTAAATAGCCCTGAGCCATTTAAACCACTGCTTTCTGTTCTCCATGGATTTCTGTGGGGAGTAGAAAGCAGGGGTTTAAATGGCTCCCAGCCATTTAAATCAAACAGCTGAGCAGCAGAGCACCACTCCGCTGTTTGGTTTAAATGGCTCAGACCTGAATCCAATAAAGCCCTTTTAAACGGCTGCCCTGCGTGGCTCAGCTGTTTAAAGGGGCTTTCTTGGGCAGTGAGCCCTAGGGACTGGCTGCCCAAGAGAATCTCTTTGAACAGGTATGCACGGGAGCAGGCTCAGCTGTTCAGAACCTAAAACAGCTGAGCCGCAGGAGTGGGCTGCCCCCACAGTTCAGCCGTTTCTGATCTAAACAGCTGAGTGGTTGAGAGCATCCTGCTCCCGCCATTCAGCTGTTTTGGCGGCTTTTGTGGGGAGGAAAAAGCAGGGGTTGGAACCTCCCCTTTTTTTTGCTCCCCATGAACCCACAAATCTCCATGAACTGTCTTAAAAGTTTGTGGCGGTTTGTGGCCAGGCTGCAGTTTGTGAACCGTGAACCAGCCAAAATTCATCACAAACAAAAGTTCGTGAGCCAGTTCATACCCATCCCTATACATGTGGAACAGAAATTACAACTCTCAGTTCAGGCAAAATCGTTATTGTGCTGGTGGGTTGGAGATCTGAGTCTTAGAGACACATGACAGGTTGCTTAAAAG